GGAATAGCCATGTTTGAGAAATGTTTCAAGAACTTGGTGACAACTGGATATGGAAGGTGAGGAAGATACAGGAGAGAAGGGGACAGGATGAGTCTTGTTTACTGTGCACAGGTGTTTGCACAGTGTCTGATACACAGTAAATGATCTGTGCCACATGACACAAGCAAATGGGACAATGAGCTAGTCAGAGAGGGCACATATAAATCAAGCACTATTCTAAGCACTAAACCTGTATGATTTCATTTAATCTACACAACAACCCTGTGAATAGCACTGGCATTTTTCCTTTTTTACAGCGAGGGAAGCTGAGGCACGAAGTAAGATGCCAAGGCCACACAGCTAGTATAAGTCATAGAGCCAGGACTTGAACCAAGGCAGTCTGCTATTCTTAACTTTCACACCAGGAGACTTGGTGCTATGTATGTATGTGATTTCTTTTTTCTTTCTTTCTTTTTTTTTTTCAAAAAATCTCTTTTTTAATTTATTATTATTTTTTTTTTATAGAGACAGGGTTTCATTTTGGTTAGGCTGGTCTCGAACTCCTGACTTCAGGTGATTCACTGCCTCGGCCTTTCAAAGTCCTGGGATTACAGGCACAAACCACCACGCCTGGCATATGTATGTGATTTCTGAACCCCATAACCACCATGTCTCCAAGGCAGGAATCATTATCCCTGTTAAAAGTGAAACAAAGCTGGGCATGGTGGCTCACGTCTGTGATCCCAGCACTTTAGGAGGCCGAGGCAGGTGGATCACCTGAGGTCAGGAGTTTGAGACCAGCCAAGATGGTGAAACCCCGTCTCTGTTAAAAAAAAAATACAAAAATTAGCCACACATGGTGGCAGGTACCTATAATCCCAGCTACTTGGGAGGCTGAGGCAGGAGAATCGCTTGAATCCAGGCGGGAGAGGTTGCAGTGAGCCGAGATTAGGCCACTGCACTCCAACCTGGGCAACAGGAGCAAGACAATCCAAAAAAAAAAAAAAAAAAAAAAAGTAAAACAAATGGAAACTGTGAGTGGGTAAGTCATTTTCCCAAAATAAAACTGCCAGTAAGCGATGGACTGGAACTATGAAGCATGGTCTGCTTGACCGGAAAGCCCGAGCTCCTGCTGCTTGGCCAGGTGCCTCTCTCTGTGATCAGAACCGTCACGGAGGCCGGGGCAGAGGACCTCTGTGGGAAGTCAGCACAGTGAGCTGTTAACTCTGCCTCAGAGGATTGGACACTGTTTGACCAAGGGGATGATATTTGAGCTGGGCTTTGGAGGTCGAAGAGTATCCTGCAAGGCAGCGAGGGAGAGAAAGGCAGGTCAAGATCGGGGAACAGTGCGTACCCTGGCGTGGCTAGACTGTACGGGGCGTGTGTAGGGGTTGGCAGGGGAGTGGTGGCAAGGAGCACTGGGGGTTGATGCTGGAATGCTGGGGCAGAGCCAGTTGGAAGGACTTGGCTTAAATGCCAGACTCGGGCTTTATCCTGCAGGCCACAGAGAGCCAGCAGTGTCACGGGGCAGGT